TGTAATCAATTCTAACATTTCAAGGGGAAAATGATGAGAACGAGTCGCTCAAAGGAAGATAGATGGGAGAGGGCCGCCACAAACATACAGATCAATAATATGCATAGCCCAGAGGACAAAATACAATAAATAACAGTTTTAATCGATGAGCTTGAATGGGATTGCAGAGGAATGTGGCTGTAAATTCTCCATAAACAATTCAAGGATTATTTAGTGGAGAGAAAATGAGAGAACTCTGAGAAATGTGCAGCAGGTGGACACAAACATGAAGGCATAGACTCATTTGGCCTTCATGTTGATATCAAGTGTCTGTTAGGAATGAAATATAACTGATCTTGAGAAGGATTCACTATGAATCCAGATAATTAAACCACGATAATAACATTACATTTCCATTACATTTTAGTCATTTAGCAGATGCTCTTATCCAGAACCAATTACAGCACCCCTCCTTCAAGTTGCAGTAATTTCTTATGCTGTTAGGACACTCTATTGCATAGTCAATGTTCAGGATATCATTGCACATTCAGCCTTGAGTTTGTAATTGCCCTTTGAAGAAATGACCATTTCAACCTTGTGCTCAGATGTTCATTGTGATATTATAGAGTATGCCTGTAATCCAAAGTCATACACAGACAAGGCCACAAATGTGTAATGTAATATGCTACTATTGTGTTTTGTAACCATGGCCATAGAACCAATTGATATAAGACTATGCCATAAATTACAAACCAAGTCACAAAAACCTTATTACCTCATGTAGTCCCACTATGACAATCATGAGAAACATAGTGTATCAGCTTTATAGAAGTGTATACTCCACATGGACAAATCACCTATTGAATCCACTCCAATCTCCCAGTGCTGACTGACTAACACTACATGGGGTGGCTCTATGGTTTCCGCTGCTCTCTCATAGCCCTGTCTTGCTGTGCTCAATGCAGCGAGATGCTCTAATACCACTGAATCCCTATGAGAGCACTAAAGCATAGGTGTCACTCCACAAATCTAGTAGTGTTTCAGACAGGGGGGTTAATGCTGCGAGTCAACCTCTACAAAGTTGTGAAGGTTTAGGAGTCAGGGCTCAGGGCTAGGGGTACTACGGAGGGTGGGGGTGAAAGGCTATGGGGGTTTGAGGGGGGTTTGTGCTGGCTTCTGATTCAGTCGATGTGATGGCAGTATAAAGGCGGGTGAGAAGCTGTCGGTTCCTTTGAGATGATAATCTGAGAGATCTTTGCCAGTGACAAATGGGGTGATGGAACCTGCCATCTTTACATTACAGAGAAAAATGGGCAACTTCACCTGACAGCAACAAATGAGGCTTATGTCTGGGCTCCTGCACAATCACACAGATCTAAACCCATCTGACGTCCTAATCCCCCTGAAATAACCCCACTGTGAATATCAGACAGACTCCACACACACTGTCTGAGAATGCGTGTATAAGAGAAGAATGTGTGTGTGTGTGCGTGTGCGTGTGTGTGTGCGCTCGTGTGTGCGTGCGTGCATGCACACACAAGTATGTGCTCAGTGAACTCTGTCTGACATTGTAGTGGTGATGGGAGAGGTGGCATTGAAATATGACAGTTCTCACTTCGATTGAAGTCTGCCCTTAGCCTGAGCGCTGGGAGACATAGAGAGATCACTCTCACATAGAATAGGAGACGCTTACGGACAGAGCTCTGTTCAAATGTGATTAGAGTGACTGTCAGAAGTACGCAGCTCTCCAAAGGTTCACCTCACAGGGAGCTCAGAGGTGACTGCCTGAGTGAGGCTGAAGGATTGTGGAGTGTGGGGGTTACCACCAAGTTACCACTTTGCTGGTGTTGGTCAGATGGCAACTTGTGCTTCACTGCCTTGAGAAACACCAACGACAACCAGCTCAATTCTCAACATGAAAGAAAGAAAACTGCCACCTTTCAGCTTCAAATCAAAACACACAAACAGTGACAGACCCATTTGGATGCTGACAGAGTATATAAAGAGATACAGTACCATGTTCTTTGGAATGAATCATCTCTACAGTGTATTTCAAAATAATTAACTGTAGTGTATAATGAGGAGAAATAAGCAGAGTGCACTGTAACGCTGTGACAGGTCTGTATGTGAGTGGTGTTGTAAGTGTTTGGGGAGGATGAGGACACAGAGAGCGGGCTGGTGATCATGGATGAAACAAAGAGGGCTGTTATGCACAGGAGCACAACAAGGCATACATCCTCCCATGAACTGAGGGAAGAATACAGCCGAAAAACCTCCACCTCCCAGCCCCATCACTACCCTTGAAAATCGACAAAATGGCTGCACTGATCCGCTAGGTGTTTATAATTCACCCTGCCATGCCTACCTCTCAGAAGGGCAGTAAGCGTGCAGTGGAAATGATGGGGAATTCCTGCCATCATGATTCATGTTAGATTGAGAGAAACGTGTTGATTAAACCCAATCATCCCTCCCGCCGAGTGTGGCACAAAAGTATTAGGAGCATCAGAGAGGTATAGGGAATCAATCTTGTCATAGTTTTATTATAAAACTTTGAGAAAAAGTATTAAATATTACACTGATCATGCTCTATATTACAAGCAGCTCCCCTCTCAACCAATAGTGTTCTTTATCTCAGATCCAATGAAACGGTAATAAATTACACACTTTTCCTGTCTTTACAGGTGAAAAGACAATAGAGTATACAATAACTGTACAGGACATAGAAAATAACAAGAACAACACATATAGAAATATGAATGATGCAAGGCTGATGAAAACACACATATCAAATATCCCCCGCGCCCATGTCCTCCTACAGTCCAACGTGACATTTGAACGTCTATTAGTTCAACACCATAAACCAGGGATAATTCACACAGACAATTCGCAGGGAACAGAGACTAATTGAGTGGTTTTATAATACAGAGTAACATTCCTGGTGGAAACCAGTTCATAACCAATATAACAAACAAACCAAAACATTAAATGACCATGCAAGTATAGCAAGAAAGGGAGAGGAACAGTCAACAGTCCATCTTGACCCTTTGTGAGCGTAGGTTGCAGGGATGCTGTTGAGGCCTGGTGAAGGCAGAGGAGGAAGCTGTGGTATTGGAAGGAATGGTAGCCTCCCATGATAATGACAGTGTTAGCCGTGAGCAGGCCAGACCAGACACAGAGAGAGCCCTGGCCAGCACTGCCACTGCTGAGGAATGTCCTTCACAATCATATCAGTCTTTCTCTCTCTGTCCTGATGGAGAGCAGGCTGAGGAGGAGGAAAAACAACTCCATGGTCATGAGTACCCTGACCAGACCAGAACTCGCTCTCTGTATGGGTCCATCCCTCTCTGGGGAGCAGGGGGAGACGTAGGATCTTTATGATCTACGGCAACAACATCCTATACTCTAGCCATGTTCTTCCTGTTTCTCTCCCTGCTGGCTGGAAGTAGGTTGCCTTTGCTGTCTGTACAATTGGCTGTCCCGTTGCCTTCCACAGGGCCACTAGTGCAAATGGGATTTACTGGAATGTAGCTGCGATCTACAGTATTTCATAGCACTGACTGATGCTAAAAATGAGGTGGGGGTCATGAGAGAGGGAGTGGGGGAGTGGAGGGATGCTGACATTTTCTCAAACAAACCAAACAGAGCTGGTCTGGATGGTGAGAGCAGGGGCAGAGTAAACAGAGTGAAGTATGCAGCAGCCCTCTTCAGAGGCCTTTGTTGGTCTGCTCTGCTCCCCCCTAAAGTCTGTCTGCTCCCACAACTCCAGGCCCTGTGACTAATTAGCATTCTGAAAAAGTATGTTGAGAGTAGGTCGACAATCTCAACCCTGGCTACCCCCTCCTCCCTCCCAACTATGCCGCCAACTCTCGGCCACCACTTCTCTCCACATCTCCCACCTGGCCAGGCAGAGGGAATAAAGCATATTCTCTGACCCGGCCCCATCCACAGCTCCCTTTACTAGCCTGCAGACATTGATTTTCATTAATGAGTGGTGGGAGTCTGGGGGATCCTCTGTGGCTATACCCAGCGCTAGTTAATGATTTGGCATCATATCTCCCCCGTCTGAGCGGACCTAAGTTCAGTGCTGCTGGCCCAATAGACAGAGGATGTTTCCTCGTCATTATGGGAAAAGAACATACAGTATCCCGGCAGCTGTCAGAATTGCACCAATAAGACACTTGGAGCATACATTACAATGACAAAAACATTACAATATGGGTAAACAAAAATTATTTTTTCATACACAACTAGGCATGTATTCACAACATGAAGATGTATGGCATGTACACATGTACTGTAGGTACTGTATCTCGTTACACAATAAAGCACCAATGATGAACCATGACAGATAGAGGGACCAGGCCTGATAAGTGCATATGGGAGTTGTGATCAACTTCAAAATGTATTTTAAAGTTTTACATGTATAATGTACAGTATCATTATTGAATCTGCTGAGTTTTTGTGATAGGCATACCGCTACATGTAAAGAGCTTGAAACATGGAGCACATGGAGCACACAAAGCCTATGGTACACCTGACAAATGCTAAATAACATTTGCTCCCTAATAACTTAAAATGTCATCTGAAACCAGGTGCCTTTAAATATACAAAACATGAGTGAGCTAAAATGCAGATATTCTTAGAGCTCTCTTGATGGCATGGAGTTAGATGTTGACAATATTGGGACATACAACACATATATTTACACAGAGAATGTCATGCAATGATTTGTTGCACTGTATTTCCAGTTATGAGAAGATGCTGCTTTAGCATGAATGTCTTTGCCCACGTTGGCTTCCTTAGCACAACGTATCCAGGAACATGGAGATTCTTTTATTTTATTTTGCTAATCACTATTAGTCAAGTACTCCAGGAACAAAGACTGAGCCTCAGTTCTCTTGTGCATTATGGCGCAAAATGTATTTTGAACCACAGTGTCCTTTAGAATTGTAGTGCAGATTATGCAATTTCCCTCCAATTTGCAGCTAGAGGCTCATAGGAAAAGGAGTCCTCCAATCTTATAGCTTTTTGCCATTGCAGGACTTGCAGCACTGCTGTCCGTAGAACTTGTGATTGCACACACTGTGCTGAGGAACCAGGTGACACCAGCTGAAGAAGTCAACACAAGACTGTTCGTCTGATGGAGAGAAGATCAGGGGGATAGTGTTAATAAACGCGCACAAACAAAAATGTCAGACAGAACTCTACAACAGTTTCTATGAGTTGTTGAAGTAGTTCACCTTTGAGTGTTGGAGCAGGAGCAGGAACGTGGGCAGGTACGTGAACAGGAGGAGCAGGAGGAGGAGCAGGACAGAAGTGTGTGTTGCAGGCCCGGGAGGTTATGGGTCTCTGGTGGTTCAGGCATCCAGCCGCAGGACGTCCCTGTCTCAGACACTGGATAGAACGGGACTGTACCCCTCCCCCACAGGATACAGAACACTGAGAGAGAGTGAGAGAGAGAGAAAGAGAGGTGTTGAAGATTGTACATAGAATAGATTACGAATGCATACACCATGTCCTTTACCTCCAAGCTATGTCTAGGGAGAGGAAAGAGAGCCTATGTGCATACAGACATCACAGGCCCCCTGATCAAGGGGAAGTCAGATGTCAGACTGTAAGAGGTTGCCTTGGTAGATACTACATTCATATACATGAATACCACCCCCTTTGGGCCTGACAACAGAGAGAGAGAGAGAGAGAGAGAGAGAGAGAGAGAGAGAGAGAGAGAGAGAGAGAGAGAATGTTTCACTTAATCCACATCCATTCAACATCAATCCCCATCATGTCTGGGAGAACAGGCAGGGTGGATGGAGAGTGGATATACATACCTGCTGCCAAGGAGAAGAGTACCAGCCCAGGACCACTGCACTGGCTGTCCTTCCTGGGACGACAGGTCGAGGCTCTGGGCACGGCCCCCTGCTGCAGGTCTGCTGGAGCTCCCCAGAGGGTTTGGGAAGGTTCCTGCACCTCCTCATAGGGAACTCTGTGTAGCCCCCCTGTGAATCCCTCTCCCCACAATGCAGCTCTCTCCTTCTGACACCTGGGCCGCAGGATGTGGAGCACTGTGGAGAGAATGGCCAGAGAAGGCACCATTAGCAAACAGAGAACAGAGAGAATAAGACAACGTGAGAACCCTCAGAGAGAAATACAGCTGGTCCCCCAGTGGAGCGAACAAGACAAGGTCACCCCACATCGCCATAGCAACAGTGCTCAACTTATAAAGTGAATGTCTGAATGTCCGTAATGTTTGCATTTGGTATTCAGGCTATTTGCTTTGTTCTGACGAGGGGACACAGCGTCAGCACTCTGGATGTGTATGTTTGTCGCAAATGCATTTCTGTCTAGACCTCTTCAATGCATGTGTGGATTTCTTGTGCGTCGGTGTGTACAAGGTTATACAAAGTATGTGTGGGTGTGTTTGTACAGCATGTGCGTCTGTCTGTCTGTCTCCGTGAGTCCCTACCTCGCCCCAGGGTGTTGTGAACCACTGTAGCCGGTCATTCTTGGGGCAGCGGCGCAGAACGCAGGTCTCCTGGGCCTTGGGTTTGTGGTGTGGCTTACACATACTGTCCGGCACCACCACAGCCTTTGCTCCGGGGTCAGTGCTTCTGCAGAACACGCCACGCTTCCTCATCCCACGCCCACACGACTTGGAACACTGAGAGGAGAGCAGAGGAACAGAGGGTCTGGTAAACTCAGCCTGAACTCATACCGGGAGGCACGCTCAGAATGAATTGCATCTGAACCCTGTGAAGGATGCAGTCAATAAGGGATGCAGTAAGTGCACTGTAAAGTGCACTCTGTCTACAGTCAGACTGACCTATGTCTAAATCACTCTGGTCTCTCTCTGCAAAGAGACACGCTCAACTTGAGATAGCCTGAAAACTCTGAAAAACAGTATAACGTAACTGGGTATGTTTGAAGTATTGAATAAGAAGTGAAAAGACCTGTAATTGAAGTCATTTTATTTGTACCATATACTGTGCACTGCTTAATAAAAGCATATACATCAGATAATGCAGTGAAGAGGAACGTCCCTCCAGTTATCTGTAGTATCACTGACAGACAGGCTTTTACCGAAACAGCAGGTGGAGATCCCTGTCACTACTGACTAAGATGGAGAACACTGTCACTGATCATAACTATGTATTGTAGCCTCTATACATTTGGCCATGTCAGTTTTGCCTAGCCAACCCTAAATTGAGGAACTCACAATAACGGTGTGTGATTAATGATGATAATATTATTTGCAATAGTTCTCTGCAGTCTGTGTACTGTTCTCAGGCAAGTGAATACACAATTAACCATGTGTCCAGCAGAGGGCAGAGAAGTCCCAAAGTCCTATAGAATCAAATTAAGAAAGATTTCCAAAAAGCCCTTTTTCAAACTGTAATGCCAGTATATGGGCATGTCATGCAGTGTGACCTACCTGTGACCAGGCCCCAGAGCTCCACTCAGGTGGGCAAGCCTGTGTGTGGCAGGGCTGCACCTGGGCTGGGGCGATGACGGGGCACAGGGAGTGGGCCACCACCTCCTCCCGCTGGTACGTCACCTTACGCAAGCACTGGATGTGACGCGTCTGTTGCCCGCCACCACAGGACCGACTGCAGGGCCCCCAGTCCCCTGTCTTCCAGCTGAGGAGAGAAATGGAGAGAGATGTGTCAACCCAAGTACCAAACTAACAAACGCTCCTCGAAAAAGAGTGACTGAATTATGAGAAACAGAATGGCGGTATACCTCTTAGAGTGACTCATAAACCTGCACATAATTTCACAGTCACACTCACAAACACACACTCTGCAGAATAACTGCTGTACTCAGCACAGTCAGCAGGGAACCTATCCATTCCGATGATTCGGCTGTATACTTTCCCCTCCTAACTTCTGTCATAAGCGTGTCAACCACATGACACAGATCCCTAATCACGGCAAGTAAAACCACAGATTTCCTAAATCTGTATAATTTATTTTGGGTCTAAACACACCCATCACTCTCTCCCCTGTGCCCACAGGAGAGACAGAGACACATGCACACACACACACAGGCATATACACATGTACCCACACTCACACAAACATACTGCACGTGTGCTGTAATAGCATCAGTGCCCACCTCTACACGCAGCACACACGAGAATCTAAACATAAACATAAACAGTACATCACTGGGGGCGACCTCACAGCCATCCAGGACCTCTATACCAGGCGGTGTCAGAGGAAGGCCCTAAAAATGGTAAAAGACTCCAGCCACCCAAGTCATCGACTCTGCTACCGCACAGCAAGCGATACCGATGCACAAGTCTGGAACCAACAGGACCTTGAACAGTGCAGTGTTTTGCAAAAGTATTCATCCCCCTTGGCGTTCTTCCTATTTTGTTGCATTACAACCTGTAATGTAAATTGATTTTTATTTGCATTTAATGTAATGGACATACACAAAATAGTCCAAATTGGTGAAATGAAATGAAAAAAATAACTTGTTTCAAAATATTATAGAAAATAAATAACGGAAAAGTAGTGCGCGCATATGTATTCACCCCCTTTGCTATGAAGCCCCTAAATAAGATCTTGTGCAACCAATTACCTTCAGAAGTCACATAATTAGTTAAATAAAGTCCACCTGTGTGCAATCTAAGTGTCACATGATCTCAGTATATATACACCTGTTCTGAAAGGCCGCAGAGTCCGCAACACCACTAAGCAAGGGGCACCACCAAGCAAGCGGCACCATGAAGACCAAGGAGCTCTCCAAACAGGTCAGGGACAAAGTCGTGTAGAAGTACAGATCCGGGTTGGGTTATAAAAAAATATCAGAAACTTTGAACATCCCACGGAGAACCATTAAATCCATTATAAAAAAATGGAAAGAATATGGCACCACAACAAACCTGCCAAGAGAGGGCCGCCCACCAAAACACACAGACCAGGCAAGGAGGGCATTAATCGGAGAGGCAACAAAGAGACCAAAGATAACCCTGAAGGAGCTGCAAAGCTCCACAGCAGAGATTGGAGTATCTGTCCATAGGACCACTTTAAGCCGTACACTCCACAGAGCTGGGCTTTACAGAAGAGTGGCCAGAAAAAAGCCATTGCTTCAAGAAAAAAACTAAGTAAACACGTTTGGTGATGGCCAAAAGGCATGTGGGAGACTCCCCAAACATATGGAAGAAGGTACTCTGGTCAGATGAGACTAAAATTGAGCTTTTTGGCCATCAAGGAAAACGCTATGTCTGGCGCAAACCCAACACCTCTCATCACCCCGAGAACTCCATCCCCACAGTGAGGCATGGTGGTGGCAGCATCATGCTGTGGGGATGTTTTTCGTCGGCAGGGACTGGGAAACTGGTTTGAATTGAAGGAATGATGGATGGCGCTAAATACAGGGAAATTCTTGAGGGAAATCTGTTTCAGTCACCCAGAGATTTGAGACTGGGACGCAGGTTCACCTTCCAGCAGGACAATGACCCTAAGCATACTGCTAAAGCAACACTTGAGTGGTTTAAGGGGAAACATTCAAATGTCTTGGAATGGCCTATTCAAAGCCCAGACCTCAATCCAATTGATAATCTGTGGTATGACTTAAAGATTGCTGTACACAAGCGGAACCCATCCAACTTGAAGGAGCTGGAGCAGTTTTGCCTTGAAGAATGGGCAAAAATCCCAGTGGCTAGATGTGCCAAGCTTATAGAGACATACCCCAAGAGACTTGCAGCTGTAATTGCTGCAAAAGGTGGCTCTACAAAGTATTGACTTTGGGGGGGGGAGTGAATAGTTATGCATGCTCAAGTTTTCTGTTTTGTTGTCTTATTTCTTGTTTGTTTCACAATAAAACATATTTTGCATCTTCAAAGTGGTAGGCATGTTGTGTAAATCAAATGATACAAACCCCCCAAAAATTCATTTTAATTCCAGGTTGTAAGGCAACAAAATAGGAAAAATGCTAAGGGGGGTGAATACTTTCACAAGCCACTGTAGCTACCCGGACTATCTGCATTGACCCTTTTTTACTGAACTATTTTTTTTACTCATCACATATGCTGCTGCTATTGTTTATTGTCTGTCACTTTATTCCTAGTTATATGTACATATCTACCTGAATTATCTCATACCCCTGCACGTCGACTCGGTACTGGTACCACTTGTATATAGCCAAGTTATCGTTACTCATTGTGTAACTATTATTACTTTTTTTATTACGTGTTTTACTTTTCTATTATTTCTCTATTTTCTATCTCTGCATTGTTGGGAAGGGCCCGTAAGTAAGCATTTCACTGTTAGTCCACACCTGTTGTTTACGAAGTATGTGATTAATACAATTTGGTTTGATTTGTATACAACATACTAAAACAGTGCAAGGTTTCCACCATACAGTAAAAGGCTAACCTTGTATAACATGAACACCCTCAGGGCTACCAGATGCCTGACTCTCACCTTCAGTTAACCGCATAGCTCCCCTTAGAGCTCCCCTTAGCCCAACTCTCCTCTCCCCTGGCCTGGTCTGGTCTGGCTGTAGGGAGGGACAGGATCCTACACTCAGCGTCTCCACTAGTTGTGGCCTTCTGGTATCTCTGGATAATTCTCAGCCTCTGATGAAAGCAGCCTGCCTCTAAAATAGACTGTGTCTTGGCATTTGGGGCGAAGGGAGATTAGCGCAAATGACTGCTCTGACAACCACATGACCAGGGGCATGGAGGATGGACAGCTGACTCAGTCGAGTTCTGAGGCTCCGGTGCCGACCAGCCACTCCTACTGCCCTTCTGTCAGACCTTTCATTTCCCTTCAAACCCAGCTCTGATAAATGAGGGAGAAGGCTAAACTGCAATTTGGAGGGGAGAAACACGACCCGTCTAGCAAAGCACCGGTTCAGATTTCTCCTCTCTCTTTTTTTCACTGCCATATAAATAACAATATGTCATTGGAATGAGGTTGAACTACTGTGCTTCACTACAAACCAAAGTTGGCTTAGCTGTAATTTGTTTTTCTGGACTCTTTCAATAACTCGCATATTTCCAGCCATACAATTTAACTTGAAACATTTTGGGAATATTGAGAAATACTGGATGGCTTTACATTCTTGCAGTGGTTACATTTTACTGTCATGGTATGGGCTGCATTTCACTGTCAAACATTGACTTTCCATCTGATACATAATCTGATAGATAAGTTACTATACTAACCAACTATTCACGTGTAATGTAGCAGTGAAAGATCTTGCACAGCAACCAAAAGCACCTCAGGTTAGAACTTCAAGCACCACTCTAAACAGCAGCCTCTCTGAGCACCTTCTCCTCCTTCTCTTCCTCCTCCTCCTCCTCCCTGCTCTGGGCCTGCCTGCTGATGTCTCCCTGTTTCTCCCATGGTTTGGTACACGTGCCACAACTACCCAGGAAGAGCCAGGTAAGTAACTCTACAGCTGCAGCCTGCCTCCAGGAATCTTCTTCAGAGCATTAAATAAACTATAAACTAAATAAATAATCAAGTCAAATAAATAAAAAGTAACATTGAGAGAGACAGAGAGAAGAAAGGAGAGAGAGAGTGACAGAGAGAGAGAGAGAGAGAGAGAGAGTAGAAACGGATGCACCAGGGGAACTGCAAAACTCTTTAAGGCATTAACATTTCTCTTTACGGTGACATCCTGGACTGGCATATAAAGTTGGCTGCTAGCGGGCCTCGTGGTGTTTGATCTTGCCATGCCCCACACCGCACAGAAGCCAGTGGCCCTTGCAGGCAAGCCTGCATCGTCTGGTTGAGGCTGGGGCCCAATACCGGTGCTGGGGCTAGAGTTGGCGCAATAGGGCTGGGACTGAGTGCTGGATTCCTGGCTGGCTAGACTGATCTGGCCCTGTGGGGATCCAGACTCTCTCTCTATAATAAAACATGGACAGACCTGTCAGCACTGCAGATATTCGCTGGAAAGAGGCCTCTTTCACGCTCCTCCTTTTCTGTTTTTGATAGCATGCCCATACAGTTTGGAAGTATTTGTAAAAGGCATCCCATAAATCCTGACACTTAATCAGCGGGAAACAGGGTCCACTGATTCAGGAGTCTGGTACTGATGAACAGGACTCTGCTCTTGGATTTATGTTGATGATATCATTCACCTGGACGGCACACTTCCTCTCCAGCTCACACGGGGGGAGGTCATTAGTGGACTGGTTCATTTAAACCTTTCCCCTAGATAACAGATATAGTCTGACCCAGATTATAGGAAAGAAACCCCCTCAATGGTGGGAACCTCACAAAAAAACAGTGGCAGCATGTTTAAGTTGTAACTGATAGCGCCCTGGCTGTTTCGGGTCTTAGCCTATATACAGTGATGGAGCCGCCTGTGGAAATGTGACATCGTAAAAATGTGACATTTTTACGACATTAGTCCCCTGAGCACAGAAGAAAGTGAGTGTTTTAAGTGGTCTAGCACCAGGCCTACAACATGTCTGAGAGATAATGATGTAGAATAGAATGATGTACCAACTCACTCCACAAGATGCTACAGTACTGTACTGACACAACAACACAGACACCAAAGGCACTCACTGACTCCCACCAGGCTTAGAGTTGTTTCAATTACCCACTGTTATTGAACGATTTGTCAAGATTTGGACAGAGAAAGCTGCACTGGTTATTATTGTTTCTTTAAGGAAACAGTCATATGGTCCTGATTTCCCCCTCACCCACCATCACTCATATATGCTGTACTGTAACGTTAGTGTAGGCGTGGGACTTCAGACAACACAGGCAGACAACAACAAGGAGAGGATGACAGGCGGGTGGCGAGAGAGAGACGTTTGTCATCTCTTTGTCAGTGTGTCAGGCTCAAAGAGTCTCTCTACTGACGGGTTCATGGCTGTTCCTTTGAAGCAGGAGCATCGTAAATCGCGCCAGTCCCATAGGAGCTGAATGGATTGTCACTGGAGCAGAGCTCAAAGTGAAGTCCCTTCAATATCCCAACTTTTATTTGCAAAGTTGAGAATAGCATCCAGTGTCTGAAGAAAAGGATGAGATCAACCAAAATGTCTGAAATGATTCCTGGTGCCCAGTAAGTGTCTGGAAATTACTTTTACTGGTCTGTCGTGGTTGTAGAAAATTGTTGACTATCCCAACTTAGCAGACAGCTGTAAATAATGGGCTAATAATTGAATCTGTGATCTCTGTCTGGCTTTTTCTAGCATCTTCACTCTTTCTCTCCGGTGGTGAAGACCAGTCATTGAGGAGAAACAAGAGCCTGTGGTGGTCTTCTCCAGAGCTGTCTCGGTGCTGAACCTTATCAGTGCGAGCAGTACTCAGACGGCCAGGCAGAGTGAAATTGAGCATGAGAGGGGCTGGGCGGCTCTCTCCTGTGGCCTGGCCCAGAAGCTGTGGCTTTGAGCGGGGGCCAGCGCTGGGAATACCAGGCCGGCCTGCCCCTGTCTGGAGGGTATGTTAATCCTGTTTGGTTTGGGAGCCGGAGCCTTGGGTAGGGAACGTACGGGGCTCTCCAGCAGGACGCGACAGGGAGAGAAGGCTGAGTGGTCCCTGCCCACAGCAAAGAGACCACACCAGCATCCCAGACCAAGCCACAGCAGCTTGGAACCAATGGAACTACAGCACAGAAAGTAGTCTGAGGTTGTGGTGTGTGTCAGAAAGAGAGACAGACAGACAGACAGACAGACAGACAGACAGACAGACAGACAGACAGACAGACAGACAGACAGACAGACAGACAGACAGACAGACAGACAGAGTTACTTACTAGGCTGGGCAGGGCTGCGTGTTGCACAGGTGAGAGCCGAGCACTGGTCTGGTCTGAGGGTTGCACTGTGTCGAGTTGACTTGGGTCCACTGATCTTGCAAACAGATGGCTTTTGTCGAGATCCGACCTGAAAGAGAGAAAAAGAGAGAGAAAGAGAGAGAGGCAGACAGACATAATTCTTATCAGTTTTCCTTGTCTTTTACAACCACTGAAAAGGTCACACAAAGCCCACACTCTTCTCTTGTCTGAGCAACACGGGAGGGCTTGACAACTAAAGTAAAGTATGAACGAAATAGTGACAGGGTGCAGATAGCGATCTCTGCTCTAAGCTTGTCTTTCTGTCTGCTCTGTCTGCTGTCACCCTCCCTACTGGGATAGAGTGAATAGAGTAAGGGGGCCACTGATCCAGGCTCACATATAAAACACACACAAATACACACATTCGCTGACATACATTGATTAGTGAATAGGATAGAGTACTCTGGGAGGTCTGTAAAGGACCAAGGGAGACTGTGCAACCTTTTCACTGTCGCTTACAAAGATGCTTTTGATAAGCCAGAACGCACTTCCTGCTACCCCAATGCGCCACACACACACACACACACACGGACTTCTCTCATCCTGGGCTCACCTCCAGCACACAGGGCAGAACAGTCGGAGCGAACCACTCCCCATGTGTAGTTGGGTTTCCTCTCACTGCGGGGCAAGGTGTACTCCCACACCACACCCGGGTTCTTACCCTGCAGCAAGATCTGAGGGAGAGGGAAAGAGGGAGAATATGACAGTGAGGTATTGGATCTGTCTTAGCACCTCGACAAGTGTGGTTAGCAGTCATTCCCCTCCCTGCCAAAATAGACAAGTCTAAGGATACCCTGAAGTGGTTCTAAGCAATGGACCATAGAGAATTAAAATGAAAAACTTGTGAAGTGGCAGGAAACTGGTGACTTGGTGACAATGGCGGTGTGGAACTATGCGTCCTCCCGAGTGGCGCAGTGGTCTAAGGCACTGCATCGCAGTGCTAGCTGTGCCACTAGTGATCCTGGTTCGAATCCAGGCTCTGTCGTAGCCGGCTGCGACCGGGAGACCCATGGGGCGGCGCACAATTGGTCCAGGGTAGGGGAGGGAATGGCCGGCAGGGATGTAGCTCAGTTGGTAGAGCATGGCATTTGCAACGCCAGGGTTGTGGGTTCGATTCCAGTATGAAAAATTAATAAAAATGTATGCGCTCACTAACTGTAAGTCGCTCTGGATAAGAGCGTCTGCTAAATGACTAAAATGTAAATGTGTGTGTGTGTGTCAGTGTGTGTTTGTGTGTGGCCCTTGTAAGGGTCCAATAGACAAAGCTCTGTGACTGAACTGAAAAGTGACCACTTGGCAGACCTAGATGTTGGGTCATGGAGCACAGACTGGGGTTGCTTCTAATGGAGTGCAAAGCTCTCTCTCAAAATGAAGGGCTGCTTTGTTCCGCATAGACTTGGCCAAAACTTTTTGGGGTCAATATTCAAACCACCAAACTGAGGGATTTGTTGACAATGCCCAGCAGCATTGACACTGAATTAATAGATTTAGGCATGCAAGCAAATAGCAAATAATTTACCTATGACAAGTCATTGTCTCTCATATCAAACTCTAACATTTGACTCAAATGTTGTTGTGTATGTAAACCAGTAAGAGATACACACACATAATTTAATTACTACAGAGGGTTCGGAGTTTTACCAGTTAAATGTGCTAACAGCCTCAGCCCTCACTGTAGATTATCCTTATTGTAGTCTAACTAGAGTACAGACAGGGGGTTTACACATGGAGAAGACATCTGCGGTGTCAGATTAACAAGGTTATAGTCTGAAGGTAAGGTCCTCCTGTTCAATGTACTGGGATCAGATAAAATGACTGTACATCTGTCCCGTGGGCACGGTCAGCGATATGAACTTTATGTGCATCCAGATAGATGTTGAAACGCGCTCTCCAAAGCGCAGTGAAGCAGGACATGAGAACGTGAGACTGCTCTGTACTGAGTTGTACGGGCTCCAAAGGCACTCTCCAGTGAGTCCACAACAGGTAACAGAAACCAAGAACCTCAGCAGTAGGCATGGTGAGAACCAAATTGGATTTAAAGCGTTATCAGAGGAGTCGTTGCAGAGAGGGTTTGGGGGAAAGAGAAAGTGAGTCTAAATATATTGTCCTGGAGCTGTGCCATTGGACCCTTCACGCTAGCCTGTCCAGGACCGGTCCAAATTTACAGCTGGCACTGCACAGCAAACACAAGTTCCAGAACGCGGCACCAGGGGCTCCCCTGTCTATCTGGAGCCCAGAAAGCCACCTGACATCAGACACAACACGAGACAGCTCTCCCCTGGGATAGTCCACAGCCCTAACTGCCCTCTCCCCACCTCCACCTCCATCCAAGCTAATTCACTGTGCATGACTGCTCTCTGATATGCCACAGTGGTTTCAAACAGACAAAAAATAACAATTTAACAACATCTCAACTTGCCATTCTCACATACTTTGAGTATTAATTTCACTGTAGCTCTCATTAGGCTAAGGGGGAAATTATGATGAATTACAGTGTGGCAGACATTGCTACAACTCCCCAGCATCACCTGCTGCCTGCCTGCTGCCCAGGTCCACAATCCTTTGCTCTGGACTGGCGTGACCCCACTGAACACCTTGCCACAAGAATGTCAATACAGAGAATAATCCCTATTCTGTTTTAAATAAGATCCCTAGAGCTCACCATATGTTATGTCTCGTTTAACCCTGCCTTTCTCCTTCCAATCTCCTGTCTGATTAGGCTATATACATGAACACTGTGTCAGTTTACCCTCACCACTCTTCAACATTTGTTTTCATATATTGTTTCTAGCCGAGTCAGGGTCTCAGAGCCATCAATAACAGTCTAGTTTTCCACGACAGCATAAAGGATCTGCCAGGCTCAGTGGATACCGAGTTTCCTTCCCCTTCTGTTGCCTTTTAAATTGGAACGTATTTAAGTCTCTCTCTGTGCCTTGACCCAAGCTCTTCAGATCTACACAGTTCAATTGCAGAATTCATTTAATCTTTTAATCTGGGTCCCTCTTTCTTGTTTTTGTAATTACGGAACATACTTAGAGAGATTAATGTCCTCTCATCTGCAGATCAGCGACCTGCTACTGCTAACCCTGCTAGTGGACACATGACTCTCAGGCTACATGGGAGAAACCATGTCAGTGCAGGACTAAGCACTTTAAAGTCGATCAAATCAGGTCAGTTCAACTGTGTGTGGTGATGTAAAGCTAACAAAAACATGTCTACATTGTAACTACATGGTCAAATCCCCCCTTTCTGCAAAATGATAAAAATTACTAAAAGGCATTCCAGGGATTTCACTATTGCATTTCTCATATATTTAAAGACGCCGTTTAAACTTGAGCTCTCAGTTCACAGGTAGCCTGAGGCCGAGGGCTCTGTCCAAACTAGCTTTTACATTACTTTCACCTTGCCTTTGGTGGATGGATAACAAACCAAACTTTCCAAACTCACCTGGTTTTCCCCCTCTGTTTCTAAGAAGAGTTCAAAGGGCATGTGAAAAAAAGCATGCCACTGTTTACATAGCTATCTGTGGAATATATCCTCTACCTCTCAACACCCTAACTCTTAAATATACAGACTACAGCATGAGCAACCTTGAGAGTCACTTATTCTCCAAGGACAATCAATAACACTTATTTCCATTCGACTGTCAGGAGCTTAATTTCTATTCTTGTCGACCATCAGTTGCAGCAATGTGTGACGACAAGTAATGGCTTGCTTTTACCTCAGAGCTTAGGCCTCTGCTCTGACAGACAAAGGTAATAGAGGGTGTGTAAACTGTGCAGTGTCTGTGTCCAACCAGCTGCTATGACTACATCCTTATTAACAGCACGTTTTAAAAGGAAAACACTACATACTAGTGCCTGTGACACATAAGGTGAGGTGTCCACTTTGACCTGGATGGTGAATATGGAGGCATGATGGCCCGTTTATCCTAATTGACCACTTTTTCTCCCTTCTCTCTCTGTTGGCCACCGCTTTGAGATGCTTGACACCTCTCCCTGCCACTCAATTGAAGTTAAAGCCGCTGGCCTGGTTTCAGATAAATCTTGCGGAATGTGCAGAATTGTATTATTCTTTTGCATGAATCTGGAAGTTCAAAGCGCATGGCGAGCTGTTTGAACCCCAGACCTCTTGATTACAGAGATGAAAGCCCCGACGACATCAGAATCAGGACACAATTAATCCTGAACAGTAGCGTTACTCCCCTGTACCACTCGTTGTTGTTGGGAGTTTTCTACTTTTTCCCGCCCACCCTGCACTTCAGCCCGGCCTTGTTTTCATCTGAGTGAGAGTCCGAGCGCTGTGCCAAGGCCCTGTCACCGCTAATTCGCTAACGGACGTCAGGGCAGACGGGGACGGAGGGGCAACTTACTTCAAAGACCAGGGTCTCATTAGTGGGTCCAGCCGTGTACAGGCTCTCTGGGCGGTTGAAAGAGCGCTGATAGTCAAACACCGTCCCACCGAACTGGAACTTTCCAGGCCAGTCCACGGTCCAGTCCCCTGTCAGATAGTACTTCCTCTTCAGGGTGCGCACAGCCAGGTAGCTGGTGGAGATCTCCATCTCCTGAACACGGATGCTCCGTGCTCCAGGTGGGATGGTCACCATGGCGTAATATTCTGAACAGGAAGAGAAAGAGCTTGTTTAATTAGAGATTAATATATTTTTTATTTATTTTTATTTTTACAAGATAACACTCATTACAGTGGGTACAGTACACAATTTGTATAACAATTCCATGCAAGCAACAGACTGTCCTGGGTATATTCAAGTATTTTATTGGGATGGATTCTCATCAAGACCAAACGCAAAAAACACCTTCCAACTAAAAACTTCCCTGGTTTTAATCTTACCTTCGTACATTGAATTACAAAGTGTTTTATATAACCTGATCATATGGTGCCGTGTTTTCAGTAAAGAGGTGAGACAGTAAGCTTAATTCACTGAGACAGCATAAACCATTATAACTCTCTGTAGTATACAGCTTCCCTGGTGTAACAACGCATGCAAGCTGCCACATACATATCTTTCCACTCTATTAGAAGCAACCCCAGCCTGTGCTCCATGACCCAACATCTAGGTCTGCCAAGCGGTCACTTTTCGGTTCAGTCAGAGAGCTTTGTCTATTGGACCCTTAAAGGGCCACACACACACAGTGATCTGGAAAGGTTGCTCTTAGCCAGTTGTGAGAGTATAGTATGAGGTCTGGAGGAAGGTACTGTCTCCCCCACAGTGGCATCTGCTAGAGAATTCACCCTGTCATGTTCAGATAACTCTGCCCCAATAACACTTTGCCAGAACTGTCCTACAACAGAGCTTCTCCTCTCTCCCACTGAATCAAATTGACATGTCAGTCTTCTTGTTTGACGTACCGTTAGCTCGGTGCTGGAGGACGTACTGGCCTTTGAAGAACTTGCAGGTGGAGTTGTCCCCTCTACAAACTCCACAGGCATCCAAAGTTGCCTTTGAGCCCAGGACCTGGTCACAACCCACCGGCTGCAGGATGGAAGAAACAGAAGGAACTTAGATGACACAGACAGCATCCTGTGTTCTATATCACATTCAGTAGACTTAGATGTAGTTCATGTGTTGCTGTACATCATGTTCCTCAAATCTGCACTTTACCTCACAGACTCCTTCGATGCACACATCCCCTTTGTGGTCTGAGCAGGATGTCCCATCCTTGACTTTGCTGGCCATGGCAAAGAAGAAGTCAAAGTCCTCAGCGATGCAGTACAGCTTGCAGATATCCTCAGCTACAGAGGACATAGAGAAGATTTAACATATGTCATAAACAAGATCATGGAGGTAATTCTGCACCTGTGCATTAACCAATTCCTCCTTCCCAGGTGTGAGTCTCCAGGTCTATATAGAGCACAAACCACCTTATGGCCTCTCTCTATGTCACTGGTACACTCCATATTACAATGTGGGGCAAAGGACAGGCACATGGTAATGAAGGAACCGTACTCGTCAATTGATGAGGCAAGATAAGAGCCAATCGATGGGGTACTGGTGAAGACTGTATTCAGGGTTCTATTGTGTTAACGATGCATGTCCACTGCAGTGCAATGTGTGGTCCCTCTGGGGACTGAAGAAGTAGCATACCTCTGCCACATTTCACATACTTCAGACCTGAAAGGATGTTACAAATGGGCCCATAAAACAGGGAATGCAGAGAGGGCAGCTTCTCCACAGGTCTCACACAGAGTTTCAGACATGGGCCAAGTACCGGGATCTACTGTACAACACACAGACACAGTCACTGACTAATGACAGGGGTGTTACCAGCAGCATGGCAACAGCCTGGAGGCAAAAGGCATCATTATCTGACCTATTCAGATTCCTTCCACCTATTCAGATTCCTTCCATCTTGTCTTAAAATCAATCTCGTACATTACTGATGATGTGAACCACTGAATGCCTTACAGAAGCATCTTATGAATTTCTAGTTGACATTCCATGTTAGTAATTCACATCCGTAGGCCAAGGCACTTGATTTCATAAAGTCTATTGGATATGTTGCTTAGAGCCCAGTTAGACCAGGGTAAGACTGCCTTTACCTCCTGGTAACTCAGCTTGTCCTCTGAAATGATGCCAAGTTCAGACACCACTGGCTGCCCTGGGGGCTGGGCCTTAGGGAGTGTCCCTCCACAGGGAGAGAGAGAGAGGAGGGAGAGCGGTGTGGAACCACTCTACAATCAGCCTTTAATAAACGGAGGCGGCCGTTCACCTCAGGCCCCAGGAGGTTTTTCAGGATCTGCTGCTTGCATCTTCATGAATCAGCACCTCACAAAGGTAATGGGGTGTCAGCCAAACTCTCTCTCTCCTTCTCTCTCTATCTCTCCCTCTCTCTCTCCATCCCTTCTCTCTCACTCATACAGTATGTATGTTGTAGACACAGGTCAAACCTGCCTTAAGGGCTTCCTTTATAATCTATTCCTTCTCCCTGGGAGAGAGCAGGTGGCTACATGTTTCCCATGTAGATTAAACTGACAGGTTATCCACAGCACTCCCAGGCATGAGTAGACTGATACATTGATATGGTGCACATGAGGCACATTTTGGGCTTCAGCATTCAAATGAGTAAACAAGGTTTGTCACAAAAGAAAAAATATTTGTATTTTCAAAACAAACTTGTTTTTCCCAAGTGATCCAACATATAGCCTAATTTGAGAGCTTTACGAGTATAAACAGGACATAAAGTTCTGATCAATCTGCAATGTTAATTCAATGCACTTTTAACAAGCTTGCACTGTACACTCTTAGAAAGAAAAGTGCTATCTAGAACCTAAAAGGGTTATTTGGCTGTCCCCATAGGAGAACCCTTTGAAAAACTCCTTTTGGTTCCAGGTAGAACCCTTTTGGGTTCCATGTACAACCCTTTCCACAGAGGGTTCTACAGGGAACCAAAAAGGGTTATCCTATGGGGACAGCCGAAGAACCCTTTTGGAACCCCTTTGTCTAAGAGTGTCTCTTGATTTATAAATTCGCTCTAATAGTTTGGAATGTCCTATAAATGTCCCTATTTGGGTTACGTTGAGTGTAGAACAGCTGGCTGAATGAGGTGCATTCATTGAACATTTACCCTGTTCCTAATTACAGGGGGAATAGAGCAAATAGTTTCCATACCTTCCACCTTGGTGTAGGGCTTCCATTTGTAGTACCAGCCCCTGAAGGGTTTGCTGTTGTACTCGGCACACTGCTGGGCACGGAAGTCAACTCCGCTGGGCTGGCACGGCTTCGTGTTACACAGCTGGTTGAGACGACTGGAGCCCTGGCAAAACTTCCCGTTGTGTTGTGGCCTAAAACAATAGACAATTATTAAATATATTTACGTCATTTAGCAGACGCTCTTATCCAGAGCGACTTACAGTTAGAGAGTGCATACATTTTTCATACAATTGTTGTAGACCCAACACAGATGTGACATACAGTGAGGGAAAAAAGTATTTGATCCCCTGCTGATTTTGTACGTTTGCCCACTGACAAAGAAATTATCAGTCTATAATTTTAATGGTAGGTTTATTTGAACAGTGAGAGAGAGAATAACAACAACAAAAATTCAGAAAAACGCATGTCAAAAATTTTATAAATTTATTTGCATTTTAATGAGGGAAATAAGTATTTGACCCCCTCTCAATCAGAAAGATTTCTGGCTCCCAGGTGTCTTTTATACAGGTAACGAGCTGTTGATTAGGAGCACACTCTTAAAGGGAGTGCTCCTAATCTCAGCTTGTTACCTGTATAAAAGACACCTGTCCACAGAAGCAATCAATCAATCAGATTCCAAACTCTCCACCATGGCCAAGACCAAAGAGCTCTCCAAGGATGTCAGGGACAAGATTGTAGACCTACACAAGGCTGGAATGGGCTACAAGACCATCGCCAAGCAGCTTGGTGAGAAGGTGACAACAGTTGGTGCGATTATTCGCAAATGGAAGAAATACAAAATAACTGTCAATCTCCCTCGGCCTGGGAGCTCCATGCAAGATCTCACCTTGTGGAGTTGCAATGATCATGAGAATGGTGAGGAATCAGCCCAGAACTACACGGGATGATCTTGTCAATGATCTCAAGGCAGCTGGGACCATAGTCACCAAGAAAAAAATTGGTAACACACTACGCCGTGAAGGACTGAAATCCTGCAGCGCCCGCAAAGTCCACTGATCAAGAAAGCACATATACAGGGCCGTCTGAAGTTTGCCAATTAATATCTGAATGATTCAGAGGAGAACTGGGTGAAAGTGTTGTGGTCAGATGAGACCAAAATCGAGCTCTTTGGCATCAACTCAACTCGCCGTGTTTGGAGGAGGAGGAATGCTGCCTATGACCCCAAGAACACCATCCCCACCTTCAAACATGGAGGTGGAAACATTATGCTTTGGGGGTGTTTTTCTGCTAAGGGGACAGGACAACTTCACCGCATCAAAGGGACGATGGACGGGGCCATGTACCATCACATCTTGGGTGAGAACCTCCTTCCCTCAGCCAGGGCATTGAAAATGGGTCATGGATGGGTATTCCAGCATGACAATGACCCAAAACACACTGCCAAGGCAACAAAAGAGTGGCTCAAGAAGAAGCACATTAAGGTCCTGGAGTGGCCTAGCCAGTCTCCAGACCTTAATCCTATAGAAAATCTGTGGAGGGAGCTGAAGGTTCGAGTTGCCAAACGTCAGCCTCGAAACCTTAATGACTTGGAGAAGATCTACAAAGAGGAGTGGAACAAAATCGTTCCTGAGATGTGTGCAAACCTGGTGGCCAACTACAAGAAACATCTGACCTCTGTGATTGCCAACAAGGGTTTTGCCACCAAGTACATGTTTTGCAGAGGGGTCAAATACTTATTTCCCTCATTAAAATGCAAATCAATTTATAACATTTTTGACATGCGTTTTTCTGGATTTTTGTTGTTGTTATTCTGTCTCTCACTGTTCAAATAAACCTACCATCAAAATTATAGACTGATCATGTCTTTGTCAGTGGGCAAACGTACAAAATCAGCAGGGGATCAAATTCTTTTTTCCCTCACTGTAGGTTAGGGCAGGCATTCTCTTCTTTTCATGTTCAACACATGGGGAGAAGGGATTCAAGCCAACATTTCTAGGGCCCTGTTTTGACAGTTTCAAAGCAGAATGAAATCAATCACATTTAAGACTCAGCAAGACCACATATACAATGACAGCCTCAAAACAACACTACTAGTCAGGTTAATGGGTTTTCAACCAAGTTCCCAACCACTCCTGTGAAGACAGCAGCCACAAGTATCTCCACTCAGCCACATGAATAGAAAAGGCCTCTGTTCAACCTACCAGTGGAGGCTGCTGAGAGGAGGACGGCTCAAAATAATGGCTGGAACGGAGTGAATTGAATGGCATCAAACACATGGAAACCATGTGTTTGATGACCTTGATACCATTCCGCTTTAGCCATTACTACGAGCCCGTCCTCCCTAATTAAGATGCCACCAACCTCCTGTGGAACCTACTCACACCATTTCCCTGTTGTGAGCCTGATAGGCTGTTTTAAAGTGGAGCAGTGCACTTCTTCGGAAGGCTTCCACTGCCTAACCTCAAAGCAAATGAATCTCCGTTAGGCTCTTCCTGCTGGGGCAGAGCCAGCATTCGCTTGTGTTTGTGTTGGTGTTTGTGTGGGTGCTTGTGTGTTCACACATGGGGAACAGCGTGTTGTTAAATGAGAAGGAAAGTATTCCATGATTCATTCACGTAACTGAGTAATACGTCTTCATATCAAAAGCCCTGGGTAGATGTATGTGCATTAGTAGACAGTCTGGGTTTAAAATGCCAACCAAATAGATACAAATAGACACAACACTTGTCATAGTCACCCAGACAAGCGCTTGGAAATATTCTTGGATTTCATTGCCAAGATCAAATATGTAAGCTAACACAACAACATCAGCCCATACACTAAACAGCAAAGCAAAACACAACTTATAAAAACACTATTTGTGGTAAAGCCTAACACCTCATACCACTAATTCCTATCAAACCACACACAGCAAAAACTTGATATGTGTATTATGTTCAGCATCAAAGCGGCACACATTCCATAATATATTTTACTCTCAACACTCATCTGAGCAGAGCTTACACAGAGAAATGCACGTGCTGATAACAGTGGATTGTAACATATAAAACCTTGATGGCAAACCTCTATCTGGTGTGTCCCAGAGCTGCCAGAAAGGCCCAGAGTAACAGGCTCTATTAAAGGTGTCTGTGTAAACCTCCTGTTTGCAGAGCACCGCTCATTTTGTGTGCAGAGATCTGGGCCTGAGCTCCCAGTCTGATCCTATTAGGGCTTAGGCAAGGAGACATATAGGCATGAGGGCTGCAGACAACACGTTGTCGGGTTCTAACAGGGGTTCGGGTGCTACTTGTTTACTTATAATATAATAATAATAATAAGATGAGATGCAGTAAAGGATCATTAACTACATTCAGCCGCGGGACAATCTTTTCTTGAGTGGATGGACAGGGATGGCCGGAACATAATTACAAATAATTTGTAGACTGCAAATTGACCTCAAGAAGCCCATAATAATTTCAAACCTTGTTTATATTAGTACACGGTCACATATATCTCTCTATTATGCGCGGGAATACTTTGGAACAGATTTCCAAAATAGAAATCACTTGGAGCTGATTTGATGGTGTTTTTATAGTCTTTTAAGTCCAACAATTGCAATTTTTAAAATATACAGTGCATTCGGAAAGTATTCAGACCTCTTGACTTTTTCCACATTTTGTTACATTACAACCTTATTCTAAAATTGATTAAATAAATAAAAATCCTCATCAATCTACACACAATACCCCATTATGACAAAGAAAAAACAGGTTTTTAGAACTGTTTGCAAATGTATTTTTTTTTAACACAGAAATACCTTATTTACATAAGTATTCAGACCCTTTGCTATGAGACTCGAAATTGAGCTCAAGTGCATCCTGTTCCCATTGACCATCCTTGAGATGTTTCTACAACTTGATTGGAGTCCACCTGTAGTAAATGCAATTGATTGGACATGATTTGGAAAGGCACACACCTGTCTATATAAGGTCCCACAGTTGACAGTGCATGTCAGAGCAAAAACCAAGCCATGAGGTCAAAGGAATTGTCCGTAGAGCTCCAAGACAGGATTGTGTCGAGGCACAGATCTGGGGAAGGGTACCAAAACATGTCTGCAGCATTGAAGGTCCCCAAAAACACTGTGTTCTCCATCATTCTTAAATGGAAGAAGTTTGGAACCACCAAGACTCTTCCTAGAGCTGTCCGTCCGGCAAAACTGAGCAATCGGGGGAGAAGGGCCTTGGTCAGGGAGATGTTCAAGAACCCAATGGTCACTCTGACAGAGCTCCAGAGATCCTCTGTGGAGATGGGAGAACCTTCCAGAAGGACAACCATCTCTGCAGCACTCCACCAATAAGGCCTTTATAGTATAGTGGCCAGACGGAAGCCACTCCTCAGTAAAAGGCACATGACAGCCCGCTTGGAGTTTGCCAAAAGGCACCTAAAGACTCTCAGACCATGAGAAACAAGATTGTCTGGTCTGATGAAACCAAGATTGAACTCTTTGGCCTGGAATGCCAAGCATCACGTCTGGAGGAAACCTGGCACCATACCTACGGTGAAGCATGGTGGTGGCAGCATCCTGCTGTGGGGATGTTTTTCAGTGGCAGGGACTGGGAGACTAGTCAGGATCGAGGGAAAGATGAACGAAGCAAAGTACAGGGAGATCCTTGATGAAAACCTGCTCCAGAGCGCAAATGGACCTCAAACTGGGCCAAAGGTTCACCTTCCAACAGGACAATGACCCTAAGCACACAGCCAAGACGACGGAGGAGTGGCTTCGGGACAAGTCTTTGAATGTCCTTGAGTGGCCCAGCCAGAGCCCGGACTTGAACCCGATCGAACATCTCTGGAGAGACCTGAAAATAGCTGTGCAGCGACGCTCCCTATCCAACCTGACAGAGCTTGAGAGGATCTGCAGAGAAGAATGGGAGAAACTCCCCAAATACAGGTGTGCCAAGCTTGTAGCGTCATACCCAAGAATACTTGAGGCTGTAATCGCTGCCAAAGGTGCTTCACAACAAAGTAGTGAGTAAAGCGTCTAAATACTTATGTAAATCTCGTAATTCAGTTTTTTTGTTGTTGCAAAAAACAGTTTTTGCTTTGTCATTATGGTATATTTTTTGTGGATTG